CACACACACACACACACACACACACACAAACGCGCATGTACACGCACACACACACACACAGTGCATTACATCTTCTATAGCATCCACAATTGGAGCATGCGCAAACTTGACTTGGCTTAGCGAGATGATCGTTGCTGGCATCTGGAATATATATCTATTTCGTGCGCAGGTCGCAGCGTACATAACACAAAACTTCGTTGCATATAAGTCTTATATACCCGTCTTCAACGATGTTATCGAAAACTAAACACTCAGTAATTCTCATTTTTTCCAAGCGGTATGATATTTCGATTAGATAGTGCGACAGACCAACTCTTAAAAGTAGTTTCTGAGAAGTCAAAGTTTTAGAAAGTCTCATATTGCTGAGAAAATAGGATCCACTTGGTCCATAATATCGAAGAACTTTCAAGAAAATAATAGTGTTTCAAAATCGTTTACGAAACGACCTACCATGTCTAAGACCAAGGACATTACCAAGCTGTCGACTGAACAATTGCAAAAGTTTCTAACATCCTTTGACACAGTGATGTGCGACATCGACGGTAAGCAATAAAATTCTAATTTTCATAATTTTTAATAAATGTGTATGTTTCATGTGTGTGGTTTATATGTGTCAACTGTAGAAACATTATAGAATACATTTACGTTAATTTATAGCTATCGATGTTGAAAAAATTTAAAATTAAAAAATTAATTGTATAAGAACTTTGAAGAGGATTATGGTTATTGATTGATACACTGTGCAAATTTTAATATAGATAATATATACAGGACATTCCGAAATCTGCGAATCAAAACACCACAGTAAAAAAATGTTCTCTGAGAAAATAAATTGTAAAAGTATTTGTCAATTTTCATTCCGAGCAGTAGTTTCTGAGATATAAAGATTTTAATTATGCCTATAAATTATGATTAAATCGTCATTTCTGTAAATGAGTCACGTATCAAAACTACTCCACGAAACGAAAATTTGTAAATATTTTACAATTTAGTCCTTTTTGGAACGAAAAATAACATATACCTCATTCATAAAACTTTATTTTTTCGAAATTTCTTGTTAATTTTGATTTGTAAATTTCAGAACACGCTACGCGCGTGCGCACATACATACGCACACACATGCATAAATATACGATATATGCATATATATATATACAGGATGTTTCAGAAATAGTTGGCCAAATTCTAAGAGCATATTCCACTCATTGTAAGGATGAAAAAAAGTCATATAAACATGGATTCGGAAACGCTTCCTTTCCAAGTTATAAACATTTCTTATTTAAATTGTACGTATTTACGTCGGACAGCATGCCTCGCTTCGGAGTAATTTTCATTTATGAGGACATCTTAAGACCCTCATGTATGATACTCCTGTTGCTACTGTGGAAGTACTCCGAAATTGTATTATCGCTGCGTGTGAAAAAATACGAAGTAATCCGAGAATTTTTGAACGTCTCGACAATCCATGCGATGTCGATGCGAAGCATACATCAATACGGAAGGAAATCATTTCCAGCAATCTATATTTTCTGTAATGAAAATATAGATATAAGTATAAAATAAAAATAGATACAAGTATAAAATAAAATATAGATATAAGTATAAAATAAAATATAGGTATATAAGTATAAAATAAAAAAATGTTTATAACTTGGAAAGGAAGCATTTCCGAACCCATATTTATATGACTTTTTTTCATCCTTACAGTGAGTGGAATATGCTCTTAAAGTTTGGCCAACTATTTCTGAAACACCCTGTATATACACACACATATGTATATAAATATTACAATATAAATATACAAGGCATATAGAAGTCAAATTTAAAAATTATAAAGCGTGAAAATTCTGACAAAAAAATATAATACTCTGTAATTAATTCAAAAATCGATACATATTACATGTTTCGGTCTCACGATTGAGTCGAGTTTTTTTATATTTAACATCTCCGAAATCAAACGCTTATTATAACATGGTTCTTCGTCTAGAATTTGGATGTTTTGTTGCAATCAAAATCATGTTTGTATTGCAATCTATGTTCAGTTATTACTGATCGGGCAAACGTGTTCCAACGAATATGATTTTGATGTTCTGTGATTCTTGTTTTTAATTGTCTGCCTGTCTGTCCTACATATGATGCATCACAATCATTACACATGATCTTGTAGACTACGTTATTTTTAAAAAAGTGTGATCTTTATGTACTTTAATGTATTTCTATAATTTGTTATTTATAACTATAAAAAAAGAAACCTTGATGTCGTCTTTATTAAATTTATTAAATTTTTCTGTCAAAGATGGAATAAAAGGCATAGTGAACCACGATGGAGCAACTGTTATATCCTCTTTTTTTATCCAAACGATTCTGTAACGTTCTTCTTCTTCGTAGAATGCTTTTGACTTTGTTGTTTATTGTAAATGAATCAAAAATGAATTTAAGCGGATAGTCATTCTGTAATAGCATTTCGATTATAAGTGTTAAATTTTTTGTGATATTCAGAATTAGAGAGTAGGGGGGAGAGAGAGAGAGAGAGAGAGAGAGAGAGAGAGAGAGGGAGGGAGGGAGAGCTCTATCTACCAAACTGATTTTATAATGATTATCCCTCTTTTTTGAGAGATAGGACGATTGAAGAAAAAAATTTAGAAATCTACCCGAAAATTTCGATTTGTGATACCAATCGAAATTTAATTTTTCTCTTTAATCATAATTGTAATATCTTAAAATTTTAGTGAGTCATCGCCTATTTCAAGAGTAAATTGAAGGCGAGAGTGGAAAGAATTAAAATATTCTAGAAAAGAATCGATTTTGGAAGAAGAAACAATAGCACATAAACACTAATGCCCATTTCCACCAACGTAGATTAACTTTAATTTCGGTTCAACTTACTCTTCGTCCTTTTCTAATCTTTAGAATTGAAAAGACGAAGAGTAAATTGAACTGAGATTAAATTTAATCTACTTTGGTGGAAACGGACATAAGTATAAGCGTATTCAGGCCTATGACGGTCAAAGCTAGATCTTCTTTGCCTAAATAATTCCCAGTGAATTATCTATATCCTATATATGTACATGCATATATATCATATTTTTGTAATTATTCAAACTGCGCGCCGAAATTTTTCTGGACTTTACCTAACGCAATTAAACTACTGCATAGGTCTGAATACGCTTATACTTAGTGTTTAATTCTTGTTGGTCCGAATAAAAAAATCTTATTATTGATTATACACGCTGCCTGCAAAAAAGCGTTACTGTTCTTACATATACTGATTATTGCGAAGAATATTACTAAGGCCTCGATGGTCTAATGGCTCAGGACGCTCGTACGGAAAACAAGAGATCCAGGTTCAAGTCCTGGCCAAGGTAATATTTTTCGCAACTACATATACAGGGTGTTTGGCGACTACCGCATTTTTTGTCATACGTGGGTAGAACAGCCTATACTGAATCAAAAAGTCCTGTACCATTTTGAGGTGTCA